AGACTACAGTCTTCTTAACAGAGTGTTATTGCGTGCTCGATATATAATGCATTTCTCACTTTGTAGTAATCACAAATGTTTATCAAGTAATAAACTTTCTGTAAAGTTTACAGTGTTATAAAAACAGTAAAACATTTGATGAAGTATTAAAAAGTTAGAAAAATAGACCCTAAAGCAGCGAAATGCCGCTAAACAAAATCAAACAAATTGGTCTTCTAAAAAGTAGAACTTTCACTGCAGGAAGAGAACAATAAAACATGCTTGTTTGACAGCGCAATAAATTAATTATTTTAACAAAAATCGTATTTAAAAATAATGCAATAACATATAGTGAAACGGAACTTAACATACCAAGAATGTAAAAAAGGTTCTTTTCATAAAACAACACATGAAACACGTGAATACAACATTTTAATGGCGGGAAGCTTCTTCTTTGAAACTTTGCTGTCGAATGAGGTCAGCGATGTCGTGCAACAGCAAATGACAGTGACGATGTAAGATGTGAAGTACTGAATATTAAAATTCAGTCGGTATGCGCAGTATGATAAAAAAGGGAAAATACACTAATTTCCTTTTTCCATTAAAAATAGAAACTTTTTCTTAGTGTACTTAGTGTTCTTAGTGTTTCTTCGAGTTCTTGAGTATTTAAGGAAACCATGAACTCCTCTCACATGTTGTAGAATTCATACTTCTGTAAGCATCATTCTCCTCTCTAATTCGGTCTACTGATACTACATTTCTGTTGCTTACAAAACTTTATTACAACAAAACTTACGTCAAATGCAAGAACATCAAAGGCAATTCAAACGGTGTTCAACTATTCAAAATGTTGACATATTTAATGATTTGTAATCAGTATTAAATTGTTGCATTTCACATGTGCACATATTCTTACATACAGCTTTAGTACACAAGGCCGCATTCACGAGGTTTTAAAAGAATAACAGGGTTTCCTAATACATTTAAAATACAAAACATACGTATTCAAATGAAGACGAAAATAAAATAGAAGAGTGGTTCTTAAAAAACGTAATGTTAAAATATTTTTATATATAGAATGTCCGTATTCTTATCTTAGGAACTAATACAAGATTTATTACCAAGGTAACTAGGACGCTCTATCTGATTGGGGTCCTAAGAGTATGTTTCTTTATTTAACAAGAAAAACAACTGTGTGACGTACGACGAGGAGAAGTGTGGTCTGTGCACGATTTCTTAAAGTGTAGAATCCCTACTAAACTCGATATATATTTAAGTTAAAATATGAATACATAAAGCAAGAAAAGAAATTATTCGCTTCCATGTAATAAAAGTACTAGCAAAAGCGTAAGAGTTACAAATGGGTATTATTCCTTTTCGTGTCCTACATGAAAGAATCGACTTACTGCCGCGAAAACATAGAAAACGGTTAATTTAGTGAACTACGTTACCAACAGATCTCAACAAAACGCTCACAGATTGTGAAGCTACATGTGTGTCCAAAAACAACACGAGAATCCAACGCAGCTTTTCTTAAAATATCACGGAAACTGATTGAGGTGGGTAGATGATTGACTCAGAAACTGAATTCTTGTTGCAGGCATACTAATCCTTTCTAATTACACATTATTCATTTAATATTGTTTTCAAACTTAATGTTATTTCTCTTTTTGATACTCAGAACAACCTCAAATTATATGAAGCAGAAAATATTTTACTTGGCACTTACACTTTGTATCAATTTTAATCGTTTAATGACATCGGGTAAATGTGTTGTATAATAATGTGTGCATTTATTATTCTTGTGAATTTTTTTGTAGTGAACTGTTGATACTGATACCTGACGAATTTGATTTCTACGTCGAGAGTTATAGTTATTGACAGTGCTTGATTTGTAAAATTTTAGGCCCCGAAAGTTATTAACCTAATAGAAATTCGTATATATTTACAATATAATTTAATAATTATTTCCGAGGTTCCGCAACGCCGTTCCATCGCGTTCCGCTAGAAATCAAGCCCTGGGTACAGATAAATGTATCTGCTGAAAATACGTTCCTTGAGTCAGTAATTTTTGACAAAAACATCTGATTCGTAATTCAAGAGGTAATACAATGGTAGAATACCCAACTTAATAAAGCTTGGCTAGATTTATTTATTTATTTGTATATTGATTAGTGTTTCCAGGCGCCTCAACGTCTGTCTCTCAAATGCATCTCGTGTTTTATTGCGAAAGATGGCGGTGATCTTCCCTAGCTGGACAGCGAGTTCCAGCGCCGACCTACGCGTCATCTTGCGGGTTTTTGCCCACCTAGATATTCCCCATCAGCGAGGCGCCACCCCGACTCTCTTATCTACCGACAGGTCTCTCGGCATCAATAGAGTACATGTAACAATGTGTTTGTAAATAAGGAGTGGGAAAGGATAAGGGTGAAGGAAATATAATATGTGGATCGTGGCCAGTTTGTTAGGGTACTGCTCCGGTATTCGCCAGGTGTTGATCAGAGAAATCACGGAAAACTACCCATCAGAGCAGTTGACCGCAAGAATTCTCCACACAGCGGCTGAATTCCATCTAGCTTCCTAGCTGGTGTCGAAACTCCTGCCACCACCGTCGAAACCTCCCGGTCAGAGGCACTGCAGAGACCTCAATTGATACACCGAGTCACCTAGGAGATTGTTTATTATTCCTACAACTCTTGTGTGTAATTTAAGTCTGGGAGTTACAGAATACGTTTCCCCGTAATATTATGCCAGAAAACTGCCAAGAACGAACATTCGCGAAATATACAAAACTAGCTAAATGAATACTGGCGAAAATACGAAATATTCCTGAACGGGCATTTTTATGTCCTTTTATAACATTTTTTTATAATTTACATCAGTGAATATTTGAGATTTCATACCTACCGCATGGAGCCAAAGAGGAAAACTCCCTTGAGTGTTATTTTAATTCTTATTATATGTTATTTTAATTCAATGTAATATTCCATGATTTTATATTCCTCAAAACAGTTCTACTTGTTGTATAAACAACTGATTTTTCTTTATTCAAATGATATGTATTTTTCCCCCGACATTTTCCCCTTACATTTAAAAAACTTGTGGTTCTACAGAATGGCACAGACTTTCCCGTATTAGTTTTCTATTTACTTTGGTCTTGACTAGCCATTTGGATTTTCACACACTCTTTCCAGCTGCCATCTCTCGCCACCAAAATAATGTTTTTGATTCATATTCTTAATTTTTCGATTTCCTAATAGTAGAACGAAAATATTATTTCAAGAATATAAAAAAAACAGTAAAACTTCGTTTTAAATAGAAATTTACATGCACTACATTAGCAAACATATTGAGTCACCGATCGGAAGCTTAGAGCCTTCCCGACTGGGGCGGTGTCACGGTGGTGGGAGATACCTAGTAGAGGAAACACTCGCAAGACGACGCAGATCGGCGCCGGATGTCACCGCGAAAAAGCACACGCATTACTCTTACGGGACTAATGACCTTCGCAGTTGACGCGCCTTGAATCACAAATATATCATTCAATCAACTACCTAACAGCTGTTGTTCGTTGTTCAAGCACCGCTTTCTAACACAAGACAAACTGCCAGCCTTACGAAGTGATATATGCGTGAAATAACGAATTCGGAATTTCCAGGAAAGGTAAATTTTAAACAGTTACGGGAAACATAAACACAAAGATTGTTTGAGAATTTAAGCGTAATTTCTCATAAAGCACCCGAGAAAGGCGCACAGTACAGAGAACAAACGGCTACCCTTGCCCTAGTGCTCGCCAATTCCCTTTAAAAAACAAACTAAACGATGAGACTACCCTGCCGCCACAACCCAGCCGCTCTTTTATCATAAAAGCAAAACAAGTTCTGCAACCCTTTCTCACGGTGTCCGGCGACTTACTGCCACTCACCCCGCTGCTCACCGCGATGACGACACCCGCCTCTCATGACTAGGGCAGAGGCTGACCTGGGAGGGCGGGGAAAGAGAGCGCAAACAATCAGGGGCGCCCAAATAAAACCAGGGGTCTGGGCTTCCCATTTCAAACAATAAATTCCCTCCTCCCCCAACTCATAAACAGGATTCATTTTTCCATTCATCAGAAATAACTTACAGCGTTAAATTTGGATTAGAGATGAATACATTTTTTATCTCTTTAGAGTGGAGAGAAATTCGGGGACCCAATTAAGTCGGAGTCTGCCGCAGCTGCCTCCCCCTTCTTCCCCTTCCCGTACAAAGAATACACAAGCAACGATTTCAACAGTTGTTTCAGCGACTGATTGCACTTTGAAGGAAAGGAGGCCCAAGATGATTTATAGACAGACACAACTCTTCTCAATTTAGTTTTATTGCATGTTACAATTACTCGATTGCGCAACATATTTTCCCCATCCTCAGGCTAAAAAGAAAAAAGGAAGAAAATAATACAGTTTGAAAGGTTCAATTACAGTATGTTACATTAGTACACTCGTCAGATTATTACAAATCTTATTTATTGATTGCAGCTATCTTATTTATTGCATTTCTGGGCGCGCGTGTGCGCAGGTGCAGCGGCCGGCGCGACGCGAGGCGACGCGAAGCGAGGCGAAGCGAGGCGAAGCGACGCGAAGCGACGCGAAGCGAGGCGAAGCGAGGCGAAGCCCCAGAGAGAGATAAAATTCAGTGAAAAATGCAATATGAAAAAAACTCCGTGTCACACAGATATGTAAACAACCGCTGTACTAAGTATGGTAATTTATCTCCGGCAGTTGACAATTCGAAGATGAATCCTATTTTACACAAAACTGACGGCAGCAATTGAACATTGTGTGATACAATCTTATCTTGTTAACCACGGATAATTGCATTTTGTATCCGAACGATCCTTTAAGCCCGAATTAAAAGAGAGTAATACGAGATAATTTCAAATACAATGGCAGCGAGTCATGGGTCCATTAGCTGTGGCCTTTTACCTTTTAACGCCTACTCTCTAATTTTATGGAACTTAACGTGGAACAAACATTAAAAAAATGGAATTATTCTCGGTAATTAATGATGGATAATACGTAATTTGTGGACACTCATATTAGTATTTACCGAAAAGTTGCGTCTAATCTTTTTTCGTTTCGCGAATAGGCCAACTCGGACCACGCGTGCATCCTGACTTCAGCAGGTTCAAGTACTTTTCTTGGGCGGATCAGCGTTTAAGGCGCAGAATCACGATTTTTTAATCCCCGAAGGTTGTTAGCCTGGCGGTTCGTTGCTAATATTGAACTCACCATCATAATCTATTATTAACATTATATGAGAGAGCTTCAAGGAGACGAAATCGTTTCTTCTCTTGCGTTTAAAGGAACCCCTGCTTCCTTTCTTAACGAATTCTAATTAATCAGGCACAAAGGTATAGTAGAATTTTTTTAAAAAATCTCGAATAGCATGGTTTTTAAAAATTATTATTTCCGTGCTACTTTGCCATATCGTGTAAAGTGCAAGAGGAAGAGCCAGTAACAAATATGCCGGAATTTACAAAAAATATTCTGATTCTCTATGTTGGAATAAAACTTCGTCTCCCGGCAGCCAAACCTTTTTATAACGATGCTGTTGTCGCCCTACGGTTAACTGCTTCTCACAGAATAGCATTGTAAATGTTTACTTTATAAATGTTTTTTTTTACTCTGACAACTGAATATTCTTTCTGTGACCAGCGACAACTGCAAGCGTTCAATTTAGCCCGCAGACACACACTGGAAAAAGCGCACGCAAACATCGCTGTGATAGAAACCCTGAAGCGATTGCTCATTTTGCTCTACTTCCTAAAGCGCCCCAGGTGTATCAGTCATAGCTGAACAATTTATCCTCGGCGACGTCCCCCAGACTTTATGCACTCCACGCGCAGATCGGGCTCCCCTGAGCAGTATTCGTATGGGGAGCACGTCTCCGTGTATATATGAGTTGCAACTGTCCTGTCCCTGCTGCTAAGGAAGCGTGGCGAGCGGGAGTTGGCAAAACGGGGAAGAGGAACTGGGCGCCGGCGGCGGAGACGCCGAGAGAACCAGCGCTTGGTGGGGAAAAAAAAAAAAAAAAGAGGGCGGGAGGGTTGGTTTCCGAGGGGACGCGGAAAACACGAAAATAAATTACTTTTATTTTCATTGTCCATTAGTCGTCTCCGCCAAGCTCGACGAATTGGTAGACGCTGGGTCCGGAATCGTTTGTTTCTGTGGCCTTGTCCTTTCTCGATTCCGTGATACTGGCATTTCCTTCTATCTCTTTCGTTGATTTTCTTTTCTCGTTCCTGCCTGTGCCTAGTGTTTCCTCATTTTTTGAATTTGTCGGGTAGTGGAAGCTGAAGGTTTATATTACATGCACCTTTTTTCCTCTCGTAGACAAATTATTTTGAACTGACGTTACTCTACAGAACAATTATTTGTGTAATATTTCTAAAAACGTATGTACAAAAAATGTTAAATTTTAGCCATTGGAAAAGGAATAAAGTTCCTAATTATTACAAAGCGAGTATTACGTATCATACTAAAGCAGGTTTGTTTAGAACTTCCTTAAAAAGTAATTCTTCCGAACCTCACTAATTGGCTAAGAGGCCATTTGCGTCCTCTCAATGTACATTTGCAGAGTCTAAAACTATAAATCTTCTCTCACACATTTAACGATTTCAATATAAAAGTTTATAAAAAAACAAATTGTAAATATTTATTATACAATAAATCCTACTACGACTAGAAAAAGTAGTAGTTTGTCTTTTAAACTTGTTCGTGAGTGTTAAAAAGGTACCCAAAAACATGTTGGAAGTATTAAGTCACGAGAGAGATTTACTTTAAATTACTTTAAAATTTTCACTTTAATCTTACTTAAATTTACTATTAAATTTACTTTAAAATTTTACTTTAAAATTTACTTTAAATTACTTTAACCACTCTCTACTCCTTTAATTCTTACCCTTTAAATTTTACTCTCTCACTCTCTCTACCTCTTCAATTTCTTTAAATTTAACTTTAAATTTACATATTAAATTTTACCTTTACACACTCTCCTCTCACACCTTCTCACCTCTCACCCACTTCTCATCTTCAAAACTCTCTCCTTAATTTTAACTTTAAATTTACTGCCTAATTCTTTAAATTTCCCTTAAATTTACTTTAAAATTTACTTTAATTTAACTTTACAATCTCTCTCTCTCACACACTCTCTCACCTCTTAAATTTACTTTAAATTTTACCTCCCTTCACACACTCTCTTCTACATTTATTAATTTACTTTAATTACTTCTACCAATCCACTCCCACTCCACAATTTACTTTCAAATTTACTTCTACACATCTCTCACTTCTCCACACTCCTCCTCTCCCACTCACTCTAATTTATTTAATTTACTTTAAACTTCTTTAAATTTACTCTTAAATTTACTTTAAATTTTACTTTAAATTACTTTAAATCTTATTTAAATTTACTTACACACTCTCACTTTCAAACTTTACTCTTAAATTTATTTTTAAATTGCCTTAAATTTACTTCTAATTTACTTTAAATTTTTTAAATTTACTTTAATTCTATTTCACAATCTCTCACTTTAAATTTACTTTAAATTTTGACTTTAAAATTTCACTTTAAATTTACTTTAAATTTAC